CTAACTATGATGATTGGAAATGGTATATAATGATTCTAGAAGGTGGAAAAAGTGGACAATTGCAATCAATTTCTGTTTTGGAAGAAATTTCAGAAAATTAGGTTTTGTGAAGGAACATTCTGCCCGAATTTTTAGCTCCTAGTTAGAGGCTGAATTGGCCTTGACTTAAAACATAAAAGTTGTAGGGAATGACATTTTAGAGGTGCCTACAAAATTTCAGGTCAATCAGAGTAGTGTAGAATGAGAAAAGTCGAAATTACTATTGCTGTTCTGGTTTTACCCGAATGTAAGAATTGCGCCTGTAATTGGTTGTTTTGGTCAGGATTGCTTCCGAATTAGTTGTTGAGGCCTTCTGATAAAATTTAGCGCTGTTTCTTAGCTATCAGCTGGTTTTGGAATTTCTGGATTTGGACTTGGAGAGCCTGAGTTATGATGTTTCCGTTAGAATGCATTCTGTGAAGCTGTTTTTGTGATTCTGGTGTAGTTTCTTGTGTTTTTGACCTAGTTACACTCGAAACTGGGTTGAGTGACCTTCTGTAATATTGTACCCCTATCTATTAGCTTCGAAACAGTGGGTCTTGTACCTTCATCCGATAATCGTAGTGCCTTTGGTACCATTACCGCAAAATGACGTCAAAACCCATTTTTCTGGTTTTCAGCTTAACTTTCATTTTCGGACTTTTTCCTAGCTTGACTTGTCTTTGTACTACTTGGAGCTTGCTGAATGGCTATTGGATAAACTTGTTGTTGTGTGTGTACCTTTGGGACTGGCTGAGGAAATAATGAAGCCATGATGGTTGGAAAAGTAAGCAAATTTGGGGGAAGTGCTGTCCGAACTTTTAAAGGACTTGTTTGCATTGAGTTTGTGATCTAAGACTTGGATTTGAGCAAGGCAATGATATATGATGGATGGTTTCTGAGCCATGGAGGTGAGTGACCTCAAACTATTTCTGAAGTTATTTATGAACCGTTTCTTGCATTATTTACTTTTGAGCTGTTTCCAAAGTTACTTTTGTACCGTTTTCTTGCATTATTTTACCTTTAAACTGTTTCAAAGTTACTCTTGAACTGTTTTCTTGCATATCATGCGTGCTTGCATGTGAGTGTTCCTTATTTGCTATATTTTCTTGACTTCATGACTTGTATTATTGATTGATAACGTGTTAAGTGCTTCGAATGATTTCCAAAACGAGCTTTCTAGGCGAGTGTGTACTTTATCGCACTCGACCTAAATAACTGTGCCAATTTTCAAGGATTTAATTATTGAAATGCAAGTTGCGCATGAATGTAAGCCGTTTGGCTGAATTGGCCACTGCCCTTTGTTACCGATCGACTCGAGCCAGAAACGGACTCGGTCGGGCGATATGGTGCCCCTGGGTGAATTTGGAATACTCGAGTATTACCTTGTAGTCCGGCTACGTCCGGATGGGTGGAGTCCGGCCAATGGGTCGGATGGGTGGAGTCCGGTCAACGTCCGGAAAGGGGATGAACGAACAAAAGGATGAACGAGGGATTCTACTACTAAAAATAGATTCAAGTAAATAGCCGTTCCATAGGCTCATAACAACATAAGAACAAAAATCAAAGTGATAACAAGTGCGGAAATGTAACCTAGCAAAAGACAGATTTGACATGTGGTTACGGAAAGAACACATCCGAGGCTATGCTTATCAGATTGCAGCATAACTTATACCGTTTCGAAGCTAAGACACAGGGCTACAATTTTCATGAATATCACTTAGTCTAGTTTCCAATGCAACCTAGTCAAATTCCCAATTTATAGAACCAAAATCCAACTAGTCGGCTAATTAACTGCACTACTTTTAAATGACTCTATCTCAGGTTACCAAGGTCCGATTAAGGTGTTCTTGGAGGCCTTTAAAAACTAAGACAGAATACTAAAACTTTCATGTTTTGGAAAATAGCTAAATCAGTACGGACCATAGTGAATAAATATGATTAACTGGATGAATTGTCCAAAACGGATCACTGGAATGCATCCTAGAGCAGAGAGAGTATTTTGGCCTTTTCACAGTCTACATAGCTCCAATTGGGTTGAAATTTTGTAGGCACCTATAAAATACCATTATATACAACTTTCATGTTTTAGGCCAAGCCTAATTCGGCTTCTAACTATGAGTACTAAAACCAGGCAGAATGTAAACATAAAATTTCCAGAAATCTGGAGTTTTTGGGTTTTCATGACAATCTATGTATTTCTTGCTTCCAACACTACCAAAGCCCCTTATATAATCTTATATACAACATATACTAACCATAAAACAAGTTTAGGCAGAAATTTATTAAACCCTAACTTGCATATATCATCCAAAATTATCCCAACAACTTGCATATCTTGTAATCAAGCCAAAACATGAACTAGATAACATCTTAAACCAAAATTTAAAAGAACAAGAACCATGATCAGATCTTATACCTCAAAGACAAATCTTGGAAGAGTGATACTCCACCTCCTTTGGAAATTTCTAGTTCCCCTAGCCTCCCAACTCACAACTAGCACTTTAATCGGTTTGGAAGTTTGATTTCTCACTTGGATGGCTAAGATCAAGAAGAAGGAAGTTGTTTCTTGCTCTCTCTTTCTCTCCTCTCTTGTTCGGTGCTGAAATAATGAAGGGAAATGAGCCAAAATTGGGCTAAAAAGGAAGACCATCTCTCTTGGTCAAGAAGCCCTTAGGTGGTGTCGCCACCACCACCTTTCATTTTTTTCTCTTTCTTTCTTGCATTTCTAGCCTCAAATTTCGGTCAAGCTAGCTGGAAATTGAGAAGATATTTGGCTCAAATATCAATAAGCTTGTATGGTAAGAAAGTGGTGGTCAAGTGGTGCGTTCAATCGCTAGTGCGCGGTACCCGCTGGTTCTCGCCGTTTTTCTTAAAAACACACGTACTAGGGTTTTTACTTCCTATTCACTAACCTTGTATCATTGCTTCTAATCACATATTATTTCTCACTTAAAAGTCATTTTTAATCACCAAATTTGATCCTTGCTCCGTACCGAAAATTCATCCGGCAAAAATCGCGAAAACCCTAATTTTGCTCCAATCTTGAAACCAAAAGTGAAACCCTACTTTCTAGGTTCATTGGCACTTATTGTGGGGTGATTGAGTTGTAGGGCCATTATAAAGTGGTATTTGTGAAAGAAAAGGGAATTTTTAAGAAAAATATAAGGAATTTGCACGGCTTCTGGTCGGATTCTCCAGAAAACACTATTCACCAGAAATTTTTTCCCTTTTCTTCTGCCTCGGGACGTCACAAAATCAGTAAGGATCATAGTGAATAGACATGGTCAATTGGATGAACTGTCTAAAACGGATCACTGGATGCATCGTAGGGCAGTGAGGGTATTTTGGTCTTTTCACAGGCTACGTTGCTCCGATTGGGCTAAAATTTTGAAGGCAACTATAAAACATTTGTCTATACAACTTTTATGTTTTATGCTAAACCTAATTCGGCCTCTAACATCACAAAATGGAACCAGACAGAACTGAGCTACAATTTTCCAGAAATCTGAAATTTTGCGGTTTCAAAGGAAACTTTCTTCATTTCTTGCTTCAATCACTATCACAACCTCTTATATAAGCTTAGATACAACATATACTATCCATATAGCAAGTATAGGTAGAAAATCATCAAACCCTAACTCATGTAACTCAAGAACATACACTATATCCATCCAAATCATTATAATAGGTATTATCCACCACAAATTTAAGGTGCTATGCCAAATTAAGCAAGATCAAGAGTAAGAAATAGTAAATCAGCATTATTACCTTACTAAAGTTACTACCAAGAGTAGCCCTAGTATTTCCTTCCAAAATTTCACCAATACACCACTAGCTAAACACTCAAAGAAAGTTTTAATCGGATTAGTTTCTTGTTTCCTCACCTAAGAGACTCAAACTCAAGATGAAATGGTGTATCTCTCCCTTGGTTTTTCTCTCCCTCTCTCTCGGCCAAAGCAAGCAGAAATGATGAAGAAAGGAAGCAAAATGGTGATAAGAAGGCAAGACAATTTGGTCTTGGTCAAGGCCCTAGATGGCCAACAAGTGGCATCACCAATTTCCTCTCATTTTTTTTTCTTTTTCCTTGCCAATTTAGTCAACATTTTCGGCCAAAGCTAGCTGAGAATGAGGGGATATTTTGCTCAAATATTAATGAGGTTATATGGTAAGAAAGTGGTGACCAAGTGGTGTGTTCAATCGGTAGTGCATGGTACACGTCGGTTCGCACCGTTTTTCCTTAAATCACACGTACTAGGGTTTTTACTTCCTATTCACTAACTTTTTATCATTGCTTCTAATCACATATTATTTCTCACCTAAAAGTCACTCTTAAGCACCAAATTTGATCCTTACTCCGTACTGGATAATTACTCTATGGATACACGAAAAATCCTATTTCACTTCGAATTGAAATCGGAAAGGAAAACCCTAATTTCCTATGATCATTGGCACTTTTCTAAGGTGATTGAGTAGTAGGATAGTATAGAATAATAATTGCCAAATAATTTTCAAATAAAAGGGAATTTTCAAGAAATATATAAGGAATTTACAAGTCCTCACACATTCGGTATGGTGTTTTTCAAATCTGAGTGGTTCCAGGCACCAAATCAATCTTAAATTCTATTTCTCTCTCTGGCGGCATAGATTCCACTCGTCAGGGAAGAAGTCGGGAAACTCATTCACTACTAACACATCTTCCAGTTTCATCTTATCTCCGGGAGTATTAATTAAGAAGGCTAGGTAGTCTTGCACCCCTTTACTTAACAACTTTCTGGCTCAGATTCCCGAAATAAGTGGAGATGAGGCTAGTCTACCTCTCACATCCAACTTAAGAGTTGCTTCACCAGGTATCGAAAATTCCACCACCTTAGTTTTACAATTCAATTGTGCATTATAATGGGCCAACAAATCCATGCCTATAATCACGTCGTACCTCTTAAGATCTAAACTTATCAAGTCTCCGACTAATTTCCGTTCTCCTACCAGTTCTCACAGTTTCTATAAACCATGTTGGTAACTAGGCTTTGATCTCGAGTAGGTGTTTTAACTTCCAAGTCGTAAGGTAATTTAATAGGGCTTAAATCAATACCACACATAAAGGTAGGATTCACAAAAGAATGGGTTGCCCCAGGGTCAATTAAAAGCTTAGCTAAGCGATGGAATACAGGAATCGTACCTTCTACCACTTCAGAGGACTCAGGGGCTCGCTGATAGTCCAAAGCAAAAACCATACTAGAGGATTTTGGTCTACTCCCACTCACAGTTGGTTGTTTATGGTTTGACTTCTCCGGCTGAGCACCCCCGTTTCCCTCACGATTTTTAACAGGGCCTCCGGCAAGATGATGTTCGGAACTTCCACAACGGAGGCACTTCCTCAGTTTTCGCCAGCAAGCGTCCTCGATGTGGCCTAGCTTACCACAGTATCCACAACTTGCACGAGTAGTGGGTGCAGGAAATACTTGGGAGATAGTCTTCTGTTGTCCCTGTCCCCTTCCACTTTGAGCTCCTTTAGATGGAGCTCTTCCTCTTGGTGTCCCAGTAGTTCGACCTCCTCCCGCACCTCTTCCAAACTTAGGAGGTGGCACACTCTAATCACCTCGCCCAGGAGCACTAATAGATGTACTATGCCTCTTAGCTTGAAAGGTCCGAACTTGAAATCGAGCCTGCTCCACTCGTTGAGCCTTTTCGAGAGCATCTTTAAAAGTGTCGATTTGAGCAGTAGCTAAATCCTTTTGAATTTTCACATTCAATCCTTGTACAAATCGCCTTATGCGCTTTTGTTCACTAAACACCAATTCTGGAGCAAACTTGGAGAATCGAGTGAACTGGGTCTCATATTCTGCTACACTTGAAGTACCTTGGCACAGTTTAATAAACTCGTCCTCCATTTTTTCCTGGATTAAGGGCGGGAGAAATTTCTCATTAAATTCTCTAGTAAAGTTAAGCCAAGTATGGGGAGTTTGCTCCCTCTTCCACTTTGCCCATACTACGTTCCACCAAGAACGGGCTGCGCCTTCTAGCTGGAAAACGGTGAAGGTAACTTGCCTCTCTTCAGTGTAATGTAATGCAGCGAATATATCCTCCATTCACTCAAACCAATTCTCGACAACTTCGGGCTCAGGTCTTCCAAGGAATTTTGGAGGAGCAAACTTTTGGAACCGCTCCAGGGCCCTATCCTCACCTACTTCAGGGTCCCTTTATTGGTTACCAGGTACTTGACCCTGCTGGTCAACCAAGCGGGCCAGTAAACCAGTCATTCGATTGATAGCCATAGCTACCTGGTTCCCATCTTCACCTCGGGGTCCCTGATTTTAGTTTGCTACAGAACCTTGTTCCTCTCCTTGGTCTGGGACTTGCCTGGATTCTCGCCACAGCCTCGACCACGTTGCCGTCTAGTTTCCATTCTTACTCACTGGTCCAAGGCCCAAATATAAAACTAACGGGTAAATATGCGTTGATACATAACTGGTACTTATTCATTTCTAAAAGCTAAACAAAAGTGAAATTGGAGTCACGATAAGCGAGTAAAATACGAAGCAGTTAAATGCCACGCCAAAATAAAGTTAAGTCAAAGTCAAAGGTCAAAAGTCAAGGTCAAAAGTCACAAGTCAAAAGTCAAAAGTCAAAGATCAAAGTCAACAATCAAAGCATTATATATTAAAAGGCTCATAGCAGTTAGTTACAAGATAACAAGACCAAAAGTAGCAAGTACGAGCCTTAGAAGTACATGTACAGTCATATAGTCACATCCAGCAAAAGCATAGTGTAAGTAGTCAAAAGAAAGCCGTACAACCACCAAGTCACCACATCCCTTATCCTTTCTATGTACGGTAGTCAAAATCATCCAAAATAGTAGCCTAGGAGTAAAGGCTTAGTCCGCCGTAGGACTAGTTGACCCACCAGACTGGGCGGGTTCATCTCCGACCTCGCCTCCTATGTAAGAAGTCTCATCGCTCTCCTCCCCAAGTAAGTCATCAAAAATGTTCAAAATCGATTCAGCTCTAACCCTCGCTTTCCTGGCCCTCTTAACCATGCGTTCCTGCGCTTCTCCGAGTTGTGCACAGAGGTCATCTACCCTTTCTTGGCCTTCAACCACATCGTACTCAAGCTCCTTAATCCGATTGGCTTGCATTTAACAGTTTCCTTCAGTAGCGATTCTCAAACGGGAGATCAAGATCGGGGAGACCGATGAAGAGGGAAATGGGTACTCCGAGGAATGGAGCCTACCTCAGCTTCAAGTCTCGAATTGTCCCTCGTGAGCACTTTTCGTTCCCTCACTACAGCCAACACTACTTCATTAGGGTAAGCATAGGTATGGCGGCATTCGCAACGCCTGAAGCGATTTGATGGGCTCCAATAGACTCTAGATCCCCCGGCTTGATATGATACTTAATCATTGGTAAGTCCCCACGAGATGTCTCGCCAGCCGACCTATTGCTCGGGCCACTCGATCCTTCCATCCTACACAAAGTGTAGATAAAACTTAAGTACTCTTAAGGGCAATAATCAAATCTAATCCTCAAGTCAAAATTCCTAGTTCGCCCAGGCCAATTCAAACCTGGCTCAGATACCAACTGTGATAGCCCCACCTCTCCCTAGGGCGAATCCTAGGGTATCAGCGGATTGCCTGCCTAGCTCTCGCCAAAGCTCAGTCAATCAAAGTACTATTAACTCAAATGAAACGGATGAAATATCTTCCGTGGAAGGAAATGTAACCCTAATTAAAACATAATCACTTCACCAACAATCCAAAAGCTTAGTATATGGCTAAATGTCAACTTACCACACCACCCATAAACTTATATAACAAGAGTGGAACTTATAGGTTTAAGCTTACAGGAGTCAAAAGTAAGGTCTACTTAAACAAAAGGTTACAATCTCAAATACAAGTCCAAAACAATGTAAAGCTAAGAAAGCTCTTGATCAAATCCATCCCCGATCTGTTAAGGAAAACAAAGGGAGTGGGGTGAGCTAATGCCAGTGAGGTTCCGAGTAAAACAAGTAAACACATAGTCAAATAAGGTCACAAAATAATCAAATAAATTCTGTACAGTAAGATAGTAATTTAATCATAGTTCAGTTCAAGGATACGGGTGGCTTTCAAAAGCCAATAACCACTGGAGCTTGATCATAGCTGGATCCGTTGACTCTCCGTCAACGTTTGTATTCATAGAATATAAGTCCGTAGAGCACCGCTTTCACCAATCTCCGTCCACCAATCAAGCCTCTACCGGGCCCGCACGCCACAACAGTAGTTTGGCAATACTCGAGTATACCGACTTTCAGTATTCAGTAAACAGTCCCCAAAGTTTATCGGCTTTTTCGACCAAGCCCTTACTGGCTCGATACGACCGACTCACCAATGAGGTTGGGTACCCAAACAGTAGCAGTAGTTGATGGGATATCACCCAAGCAACTCAAACATAGTCATATATAGAGAAATCACATCTCATAGTAATAGTATATAGAGCCTCAGTGGAAACAAGGGAGGTCGAGTGCGATAAGTACACGCTCACCTCCATTTTATTTAAAACAGTCACAAATCAAGTATCTCATGTATTCAGATATTTCATATAATAGGTAGCAGGTAGTGGAACACTCACCTGTCAAGCAAAGTAGTAGTCAAACGTCAAGTGTCTTGGTTACGACCACTTTCGTTTCCCAATTCTAGGGCAACGAGTGAAATCGTTAACATTCGAGATTCATTTCCACTCAAATGTAGGTTCATTAAGAGACCAAGTGAGTGGTTAAAGCCATACAATTCATCATGTAAATTTAGCCCAAAATGCAGTAAGAGTTCATGAGAAAACAAGTCTAACAAGTGCAACAAAGTTGGCCAAAAGGAAAGTTTCATTCAAGCTCAAAAGGTTCTTCTCGCGTAAACAGTCACGCCTACGTAGTTTTAGGAAAACGGCTATATCTCATTGTAGAAAGGTCGGAATTAGATTACGTCAATGGTGTTGGAAACTAGACTCAAAGGGTATTCCAACGGTACCAAATATACATGCCGGTTCATTTTCTATCAGTGCCTGTAGCTTGGACAAGTTGGCTGTTTTTTCAATTCTGGATCAGCACTAACCTCAAGCAAAACTACATTAGTTCTTGATGCTATCTTCATTTGTTTTGGTCCAAACTCACCCAAATCAGTCCTTAATTGTTAATATACAGTGGGTCACATTACCTAGGACCATTGGAGTTCAAAATATAATACATCAACATGAATAAGAATGACCATAGCAGCCAAGCTATCAAGAAAACCAAACCAATCCACTATGACCCAAACCACCACTTTACTTCCTCAAATTCAATCCAACTCACACATGAGCTTAACCTATGTCTAGCCATGTTTATTAGGCTTGATTAGGGTACAATAAAACCACAAAATTCAAGGAAAAACCCTTCCTTCAAGAACCGGTCAGCCATGGCAAAGAAAACAGTCCACCTTTTCTCATATTCACTCAACCTTCCCTTTCATGGTTTCCCTTAAAACAGCATATCAAGTGGTAGATCTAACTCAAAAGAGGTTTAAAACATGTTAATACCTCATAAACAAACATGAACAAAGGTTAAGCATTTCATCAAACACATGGTAGGCATACTAACAAGCTTAACTACTACATGTTTAATTCAAGAGATTAACCCCAAATCTCAACCAAACAACTTGTATTTAGCCATTAAAACTCAAAGTAGATGATATAACATCATAAAACTACAATTTAAAGATCATTTACCTCACTAACAAGTTGCTTAAGTCACCAAACAATCCATCCAAGATGGAAGCTTCAAGCTTGGAACAACCACTAGGATTGAAGGGAAATTTCTCAACTAACTCAAGATGTTTCTCTTTCAATTTTTTGCTCTTGCTTTACTAGGGTTGGAAAGCAAGGAAAAATGGAGTTTCTCTCTTCCTCTCTAGGCTTCAAGAGGGCCGGCCATCATGAGAGAAAAAATGGCTAATGCTAGTTTAAATTATCTTCTAATCTTGGGTCAAACAAAATACTTGGCTAGGGTTTTGCCACTTGACCCCATTCTTGTCCAATTCTCCCTTAATCTTTGACTAATGGTATTTTAACCTTTCCAAATGTACCAATACTTATTTAACACCTCGAATCCTTCATGTAAAGTCCCTACCACTAATAAAAGAACACTTGGCAAAATACAAGTGGTAAATTATATAAAACCAACTCAAGAAAATATTTTATTTCAAGTAAAAGGAAATGAAATATAATGCATGGGAAATGTTGTAACACATGTAGAATATAATACAATAGCACATAATATTTGATTTAAATCCTAGAGTAAGGCAAGTAATTTGGAAAAATTGTGTTTTAAAATGAGGGTTCTGACATAAAGTATATTGAACGAATATCTGAAATTTTGCTGCCAAAAGTTCATGGAGAAACTATAAAAGTTCCCTTTCCCTCGCTCAGCCAGCTCAACAGATTTCCAACCAAGTTTTTTCAAAAATTTTCATCCAATCTACTAATTTCTCACTCATTTCCATTGCAAATACACCATACATCATTTTTAACATAATATAAAGCATGTGACATGAGTTCTTAGCGAATAAATTCAGCAAAGTTCCAAATACAAAGCTACAAATCAAAACTATCCATCACATGCTTAACACACGACTTCAATTCTAGAGATTTTAGTGGCCACAAGCTTACACGCATTCTATATTTACACCAATATTCATCTATCAAAAGATATTCAAAGATTTTCTAGCAACTTGCAACAAAACAAGAACCAAAATCTGGAAAAAAAATATCTTTTCATACTCGGTCCAAGCTGGAGAAAAATTTCCAGCAACACAAAATTTTTACCACTAATTCTTACCTTTATTCATCTTCAAATCATGCATGCATCCACATCTCTCCAAACTATAAGAAATGATTGAATTTTCTACCCATTTTACCTTATTTTCTGCTACCAAACAAGCTGGAAGCTAGCTCACTTTTCTGATTTCTTCTCGGCTAGAAATGGATGCAAAAACAAGGTTTGTCTTAGCTGGAAATGAAGACTAAACACTCTAGTTTCTCTCCGCTGAAATGGAGACAAGGCACTCTAGTTTCTCCCCATTGAA